GAGGTTCGAATTAGCGAGGGTTCGAGTTATCGGGAGTCGACTGTAATTTAAGTCGTTTCCCATTACAAAATTGTCGATCTATAACCGTTTTCGTTCAGTTGTTAACCCTAATCCCGGTTGAGCTGTGGGCACCTGGTTATTCCAGGTTTTTTCAGAAATTCAGTAAGGCAAGTGGGTTGTGTACCACGGTTACTTTAAGTCTGCAGACTTGAATAATGGCTGGTACAAACAAGGTAAATTTTAGAGTTGCCCACAAGTCGAGCTGAAAAGATTTCTCGTGCGCGAAGCGCGAGCGGCAGATTTTTTTTTGTTTTCTGCGGCAAAAGCGAGCGAGAGAGCGGAAGCTCCGGAAATAAGAAGGGAAGGACTTTGAGAAAATCTAGAGATAATCATGTACTCACCCCTTCCCATTGGGCACCCGTTCACAATCAAACTCTAAGTGTGTTGGTAAGTGGGAGTTGGGATGGGCTAGGTGTTAAAATATGAAGAAGAAAACAAAATGAAACTTACCTAGGAGATTAAATACAGGCATATATACGTGTTAAATATCCCATTTGCTCCGCCCTTTATACTTTTCAAGAGACGTTTTCGTTCTCACACATTCCAATATCAACCATAAATAGTAGGAGAATCTATAAACTGAGATAGCAAGAAGCGTGAAATTCATGACAAGCCCCAATTCATGTCCTAGTGATTCCAAAAAAAAATTAAAAAGAAAGACAACTGATGATACAGATGAGGATGACAGTTACTTTAACTCCATGGTAATGGAGCTCTGAGGTTTTATCCTCCCAACAATGTTTCAGTGAGAATTCCACATGTGCCGAAAAAAATTGGCAGCAAAACGGAGTAAGGCCGGAAACATGAATCCTGAAGCTAAAAGGGGAACTAAGACCCGTTTCAGCTACGGAGATGATTGGAGGAATTGAAAATAGTGATTTTGCTCGTTCCAGAGCAGAAACGTTTCGCGGTTTGCCGTGGTGTTTTTGCGAGTCAGTAACACGGCGACCTGTAACAACTGTCTTTTTGGCGAAGTCCAAGGGAGGCAGTTTTCTTAAATCATGGACTCTAAGTATTGCCACGAGTGTATCAGAGAAAAAGCACTGTGTCTTTCACAAAACATGAATGAAGCTTCTTTGAGCGATTCCATTTTTATACGAGGCGTGAAGGCCCACAAGTTATGTGCACTCCGAGTTCTATGGCAATCAGGCCAAATGATAGAAAATGTTTTTTTCGTTTGCACAATTTTAACTCGAATTCGGATTATTATATGAATTCTATGGATGGGTCAAAACTAATCTACAATCATGGACAAAAGTCTTGGGACACTTTCGCGTTCATGGGGCGTTTTCCAATTCACACAGGCCCCTCCTCTCACCCTACACTCCCTACAAACAATGTTGGACACGTGTATCCAGAACTTTTTCCGAGTTTCAACTTTGTATAGGTGAGGAGGGAGAACTGCAAGAAAAGTTCGAAAAGAATGCGCTGTTTCAGGATGGGTTCCTGGCTGTTTTAAGAGGAAGCCGAGAAATGATAGAAAAATATGAATATCGCAGTACTGTCCCAGGGACGTTTGTCCAGAATTGTACCGGTAGCTCCCTTGTGTCAACACGGACTTGCAAAGGATGTTCGTTGCCAGTTGAAACATGTGAATAGCAAAACGGTCTTTGAACAGAAAGAAGAGAAAAATGGGAACTGCGAACTCTAAAAGAAAGTTCGTGGCGTTTAATGGACTTCCTATCGAACCTCCCTTGATTACTGTTGATTTGTCCAATCAAATTATAATCACACCACTCCAAACGATTTCCTAGAGATTCCTTCGTGTGGATCTAAAGTTTAAACGAAGAGTTCTACAATCGGTTACTTTTTAAAAACCTTAATTACTAACTGTTTCACTAATTTTACATTTCCCACCTACATTAAATGGGTCTTGACAAACAAACTTGACTTTGGACTGAAATTGCAAACTCGAAGATGACACACTATTCAGTGAAATCTTTCACAACAATTCACCTCTAAGCTTAAAGTATGTTATTTCTAAAAGTTTTTTAACAAGTGAAATGCGGGAAGTGGGAGCTGATAATTCGCAGTTTTAAATTTAAAACGTAGGAAAAGATTGTTATAACATAGCGCCCGTGCTTGCCCTATATAAGTGGTATTGAGCTGGACAAATTCTTTATTTACGCACGCCCGTGCCTAAATAAAGATTTTTTTCATAAGGACGTGTTCAGCTGTGTTTTTCGTCTCTTTTCCTATGTACCCAAAAATCGACAGCAATGATGAAAAACTTTCTAGATTTTTTTTGAAATTTAGTTACCTTCTAGCCACTCAAACCAACTGCAAAGAGGGTGAAGATGTTTCGCCAATAGAGCCTGAATGATTCGTTGAAAAGTCTGCCGTAAAGGCTGACATTTAAGTGGGAAAAGACCAGAAATTGGCCTGTGTCGGAAAATGTCTTATTTGTATAAAGTGTCCTCCGTTTCTAACGTTTGTTTATCCTTTACAAAACAAGTTAATTGTAAAGAAAACTCAATAACGAAAACTTTTACACTTTTGTTATCGCCGAACAATCCGACTGAAGCAGGAAAATTTATCTTGCAATAATAAGACCAATTACACAAGACAAAAATTTATTACTCACAAAAACAACTGCTGACAGGTCTTATCAAGAAGCCGTAATGATCAGCCAATCTTCGTAAATGAATGTAAAAAGGATGACAGTCGTCTTCGCTAAAAAATATGTTTTCTGGATTTCGCCGAGCAGAACGTAAACATCCATTTCAGCAAATCCAAAACATACTCCACGATTTCTTACGAACACGTGAGTATTTCCATTGATCGTTAACGAATAAAGAAGCAAATTTTCTTTCTCAGTTTTACAGAAAGAATTTTCATTCAAACTAGACGATTGTGGGGTGTTTGTGATCAGCCAATAGAAGCGTTTGTTATTGTGTCGCGAGTTACGAGAATTTGTATAGGTGATAGCATGATTTGTAGTGATGTTTGGCATAAATACCACTAGTGATATTTCGAAATTGTTATACGTAATTTCACGAGCCTTTAGGCGAGTGAAATTTGAGACAATTTTGAAATATCACGAGTGGTCAGTTTATGCCAAATATCACGTACAAATCATGCTATTATTTGTTTATACTACCACCCGCAAAAGGTTTGTCATTTTCACATGTGAGCATTTCAAGTTAAGCCGAAATACCACTGCTCTAAGCCAATCAAATTGCAGAAATTTCTCATATAGTAGTATAATGCGTTTAATCAAAAAGGAAGCATTTTTGTCACCTATGTTATAAAATAATTTGCTCATGCTTTTAGCTGTGCGTATATCGAGTTAATAGATGCACGCGCGAAGTTTAAAGTTTAACTCTTTCATAAAGTACGGAGAACTAATCTAAGGACTACGTTGAACCGCTTTTATTGGCGGTCAACCTATATACACTACAGGTATATGGATGACCGAGTTTCCCTTCTATTCTCTAAATCTCCCAATTTTTTTTTGCTTTCATATTGATCTTTTTAAGACAATCATTTTTTTACGGGGAATTGCCAGCCCTCCAGTTTATTTCTAATGATCCTTTGATCCTTCGATAACCGGTCTCTACTATCATACAGTCAAAGCTCTCCTTGCGACCGCTCACGTAAGAGACCAGCTCTGGTTAAGACCAACCTTTATAAAACCCCGTTTGAACTGTAACTTAAACGTAAGCGATCGCTCCCATAAGGAACCTGACCACCTTTGGCATTACCAAACTGAACTTTTCCTTTAAGCTCTCGTAAGCGGCCACTCAGGCAACACTGAAATGAAACTGAACACTGCGCTAATGGTTCGTTGATAAAATATCTTGGAGTTTATTTGATCAAAAAAATTGGACGTGGTGTTTAGCCGTGTCTATATCAGATACAAAGACACTCATAAGTGGGTGGGTTACTGCCCTCTATTGTTTCACCTTGCGGTCGCTTACGAGAGCTTATTCTCGAATTTGACGAAAGCAGCCAGTTCTAGTTACGACCATTTTTTGGAATTTCCGTGGTGGTCGCTTACGAGAGCTTCGACTGTAGGTCCAATTTTTTTGAGTGTTTGTGTAACCGTCGTGTGACAGGACAATAAAAAAGTAAAGTAAGGATGACATGCATTTCATTTCGTCACTTCATAATATGTGTACCTTTAGAAGCTACTGCTGCATTACTACAACTGAAGTGCGGCAGTCGCCCAACTGAATTGAACTAACTTTCAAGTTTGTGGGAATATAACCATGAATATTTCACTTGTTCAGACAACGAAAATTCAATAGAAGTTCAATCCTTAGGCTGCCAAAGGCTTTTATAGTTTCATCACTGCTAATTCTCTGTTACTATACCTGCAGCCACTAACATGTACTGACTGCAGAAAAAAGGTAAAATGAAAATGTCCTATTTATAGAGGACGTGCACTTAGTTACCCAGCTACATCACAGACAACCCACCCAAATAACTAGAAACAAATGATTCAATTCAATCGTAACATGATTATTAAAACCCACACTGGCAGGAGCTAGACCCTTTTTACAAGCGAGGTCCAGGAGTTGAACTAGAGCGAACCTGTGAATCGTTCGATTTGGTGGTCATAGCAGAACTTGGGACCTCCGGATTGCAAATCCCGCGCGCTTGCCACATGACCAACGCTGTATCCTCGAACAGCGGCATATTTACCAAAATCGCATATACAGATGAGCATGCCCTTCAAATCTGACCTGCTGATATAACTTTGTTTGACCAAATTTAATACGTGTTGTAGGATGAGACTGAAAACGCAAGATATATCTCGGTTATCGTTACCCACGCAAGTCCCTTTTGACTTGTTGAGGGTAATTATCATGACTCAGGTGGACGGGGAGGAGTTGGGGCTACCCTTTTATCTCTTGAACTGCTCACTGCCTCTTTAATTTACGGCAAAAACACATTTAACTTAAAAAGAATAAAGAAAAGATCCTATCAAGCCTATTTCAAACTAGTTTTTCTAGTTCACCAATGATGTCTTCCATACTAGGTCTGTCTTGAGGATCTTGATGCAAACATCTCCGGATAAGGGCTTGAAGCGCGTGGTTTGTTACCATGGCGACTTGCTCTTCACGCTCTTCAGGATCTGGCTGTTTTCCAGTGTTCATCTCGCAGAGGAGAACACCAAAACTGTACACATCGACCTGACGACGAAGAAAAGAACGTTGATAACTTAAGATATGTATATTCAGGATAACAACACTATTAATAGCTGCATTTCGATAACCATTTACATATGAGTTATTTGAATTCTTTCTACACTCACGACACTTTCAAAGTTAGGACTCTTAGGCGGAAATTCAAATAAGACATAGGTTTTTTTTCCTTCCAAGGACTCAGATTTTTATAAAGCGAAAAAAGAATCTTTTATACATTTTGTTTATTCTGTTTAGTCTTTTGTTTTAGGCTGTCTAGTATATGGCTTAGCCTGCCACAAGCTTCATATAGCTCAGGGCCCAGTTGTTCAAAAGCCGATTAGCGCTTAACCCGGGGTTAAATTGAATTCGGGTTTCTTTTCTTGTGTCCTCGGATAATTTTCTGTGCTATTTTTAGAGCTTCCAATCATCAACTTATAGACAAAAAAAATTAAAACTGAAATGCTTTTTAAGCTTTCAAATCTGAATTCAAATCTCGCATTAACCCATGGTTATCTTAACCTAGCTTTGGACAAATCGACCCAGAGGCAGTAGTTGACAAATATAATCATGACGATTTTCCTTCGGTTTCTCGCAGAGATAAAATATCCTACAAGAGTTGTTACAAGTTAAAAGAAATAACAGATACAGGTTAAAGATTTCAGACGACACACCTTCACAGTTTGATTTTCAGTAAACGCTTCACGAGCACTGTATATTGCAGCACCTGGACAAGCTGACATGGTAGGCTGCATAAAATTAGCAGCACCATAATCCGCCACTTTGCCTCGCCATTGGTCAGCTTGTCGCCATAGCAACACATTGGCGCTGCTGATATCACGGTGGATAATGGGGCGTGGTTTCCTTTGGTGTAGGTAATTTAATGCTCGAGCCACATCCAGAGAGATAACAACCACTTCAATTGTAGAAAGAGATCGCCGCTCCAGCAAATTTCGCAAACTCGTTTCCATGAGCTCTGTCACGAACAAAGGTCTTCTTCCTTCATCGTTTGTTGCTCCGATGAATTGCAGCAAACAAGGATGGCGGCATTTTGAAGCAATGCTCATTTCCCGCTCAAACTTTTCTCTGTTACGAGAAGAAAGGTTCAGAAGCGCCTGGTAAGGCCGTTTCACGGCAACAGTACAGCCACAATACTTGCCTTCTAAAACTCTTCCCCAGCCTCCCCTACCAATGCATTTCTTTGTCAGCTGAATTTGATCACGTGAAATGACCCAGTCAGGTGACTGTTCACTTAACGCTTGTTGAGCTGTTGAAAGAGATATTTCCAGTTCATTCACTTCTTGTTCTTTTTCCCTCAGTTGTTCCCCCATGGTGGTATTTTCTTCATCTTTTCTTTGTAGCTGTCTTTGAGCATTTTTCAACTGTTGCGTCAACTCTTCCACTTGCCCATGAACATTTGTCAACTGCTGTGTCATCTGCCTCAATTCTCCATCTCTCTCCTTCAGTTGCCCTTGAACATTTGTAAACTGTTGTGTCATCTTCCTTAATTCTCCATCTCTCACCTTAAGTTGCCCTTGAACATTTGTTAACTGCTGTGTCACTTCCCTCAGTTGTCCCTCTTTCTGTCTTAGTTGCTCTTGGATACTTTCCAACTGCTGTGTCAGATCCCTTAATTGTCCTTCAAGAAGGATAAAAGGAGGCCGCCGTAAGTTTATTGTCCCACAGAGCAAAAACAGACAATCACCCTCCCTCTCTTACCCTCACTCTAATACCAACTCCGAGAGGTTAGGATCCATCTTCTACAGCTGCGTCATTCCACGGCCAAGGGGAAAGAGGTACGATTTCTAGGTAATAATGTACCTGGTGTGATGCTTAGGTTTTAATTTTTAACCCCTATATTAGGTATTCATTCCCCTCTCTTGTATTTCTCTTGGCCTTGCTGTCATGGGTTTACCTTATTTTTCATTTATTACAAATACAATTCAATTTTTTTTATTGGGTTTTGTTTTTGTTTATTTTTTTGTTGACCATACATTATGTCCATCCGTGAGAACAGACCAAATATCTTCTAACGCCTTGAACGATGAGGGAGCCACCACATCGGGCCATTGGCCCCAGTCCCTCTGTTTGAAATATACTCTCTGTTTACACCTCACCTGAACTGGCACCTAACGGCTCATGATTATCCAGGGTACAATTATTCTTCTTAAACAGTAAACTTTTTACCGATACGGCGGCCATATTGAATAAGTTAGATTTAAGGAGTATTGTGGGATGCCCAGGGGTCATGAGCACAATCCGTTTAGCATTTACGAGCGCCGTTCGGGGCATTTTTTTCTTTAAGTTTTCTTAAAATAAGATTGTAATGGGAAAAAAGACCGTTGTGCCGTGCCGTTGGCAACCTCGTTCCCAGGGTTCTCTCCTAACCATCCTACGGGTAGGGCGGGTGGGAGAGAACGCTGGGAACGAGGTTTCCGTGTTTGATAGCCTTTTTCCCGAGAAATATACAGTGAAAGACCATATTTCAACTGATCGTGCTCATGCCCCCTGGACATCCCATAATGCTCCTTAAATCGAATTAGTTCAATATGGCCGCCGTATCGGCAAAAAGGTCTATTAATCCCTTAATGAGACTCTCTTCAAGAACCATAATGGCCCTTGATTATCTTATATACCTGACATTTCCTTTGTTTGAGTCTCCTTCTGCGTGTTTTCATTAAGANTCTAGGTAATAATGTACCTGGTGTGATGCTTAGGTTTTAATTTTTAACCCCTATATTAGGTATTCATTCCCCTCTCTTGTATTTCTCTTGGCCTTGCTGTCATGGGTTTACCTTATTTTTCATTTATTACAAATACAATTCAATTTTTTTTATTGGGTTTTGTTTTTGTTTATTTTTTTGTTGACCATACATTATGTCCATCCGTGAGAACAGACCAAATATCTTCTAACGCCTTGAACGATGAGGGAGCCACCACATCGGGCCATTGGCCCCAGTCCCTCTGTTTGAAATATACTCTCTGTTTACACCTCACCTGAACTGGCACCTAACGGCTCATGATTATCCAGGGTACAATTATTCTTCTTAAACAGTAAACTTTTTACCGATACGGCGGCCATATTGAATAAGTTAGATTTAAGGAGTATTGTGGGATGCCCAGGGGTCATGAGCACAATCCGTTTAGCATTTACGAGCGCCGTTCGGGGCATTTTTTTCTTTAAGTTTTCTTAAAATAAGATTGTAATGGGAAAAAAGACCGTTGTGCCGTGCCGTTGGCAACCTCGTTCCCAGGGTTCTCTCCTAACCATCCTACGGGTAGGGCGGGTGGGAGAGAACGCTGGGAACGAGGTTTCCGTGTTTGATAGCCTTTTTCCCGAGAAATATACAGTGAAAGACCATATTTCAACTGATCGTGCTCATGCCCCCTGGACATCCCATAATGCTCCTTAAATCGAATTAGTTCAATATGGCCGCCGTATCGGCAAAAAGGTCTATTAATCCCTTAATGAGACTCTCTTCAAGAACCATAATGGCCCTTGATTATCTTATATACCTGACATTTCCTTTGTTTGAGTCTCCTTCTGCGTGTTTTCATTAAGATCTTTTTCTGTTCCACTAAGAGATCCTCCTCCTTCTCTCCTCTTATCAGTTCCACTTCCTATTTTTCCAACCTTTGGAAAAAGAGAAGGACATGCCCCCTCAGATATGTTTATTACCAAAGTAATTTAGTACAATAAACGTACTATATTCTAAACTATTTAAACGATTCTTTTAGCCGCCTTTAAACCACGATCTGTCATAAATCCATCAGGAATATGGCACTTATGTAGCCTGGTAAACAGACTCTCTGTTTGGGGCTAGGGGGCAAAAAATAGCAGAGACATTGCGAGGGGAAATGAAACAGGAAATTGGGAAAACTCCCTTTCTTCCGCCTGCGAAATAGATTTACAAAGAATGTGTTAGTGTTTCAGTCTTATTTGTTCTTTGAACTTCTTATAGTTGGAAAAATTTGAATTCAGTGTGAATTCTTTTTCGCTAACATCAATCGAATGGTTCATAACAGTTCTTAGTCAGTAAATTGTCCGGAGTAACAATTGGGCCGCTTTAGAACATTCACGCGCTCCCGTTAGCTATATTATATAGCTTAATCTAGGTGGCTTCTGTACATGCTACTACGTGCCTTTGTGGCTATCACGGCATTGCGATGGATCGTTTCATTCGAAAAGACGATTTTGGAAATTAATTAAGCCTTCTCCAGGCGTCCAGATCATGCAGATAGCTAGAGACTGGCAGACAAGTGTGACGTATTTATAATAAACACAACATTGGACACGGAAGTAAGTACTCCTCTCATTTCGTGACAGAGGTGACAGAAATAATTTTACAGAATTATAATATGTTAACATTTAAACCTTTCTTACATCTCCGACGTCGACGTTCATGGCACTCAGTCCTCTTTTCTCTGACAGTATTCTACGAGCCTCGTTAGTCTCACAGCTGTGCAGTGCTGTTTGACCATTCTTGTTTGGCAGCTTTGGGTCTGCACCTATTTCTAACAGCAACAGCAGCATTTCTGACAAAATCACGACTTCTTTAGGGTCAGCAGGCTTGAACGTCACAGCTAGATGGAGAGGTGTGTTTCCCTCGGTGTTAACGGCATTTACATCACACCCTGCGTGTAAAATAAGCTTCATGGTCTCAACACATGGAAACTTGCACACACTTTGCATTATGTCTTCTATTTCTTCGTCACCATACGAAAAAATTGGGGTTTCGTGCCATGCAACTAAGTGCAGTAAAGTATTTCCATCATTGGTTCGAGGGTTTAAACGCAAGAATCTTTGTAGAAAGTCAGTTATGTTGGCGTTTTGATCTTTAACTTTGATGTATATCATCAAAAGATAGAGAGCACAGTAAAGAGTATTTTCTTGCTCCTCGTTTTCATGCTCCTCTCGCGAGTTCTCACTTGCAGTAACCAGTGCTTCAAAAACGCGTTCAATAAAATCTGGTCTTAAAGGTATACCTTTTTGTACCAACATTCCAAAGAAAGCTGCAGCATCTTCAAGGTTATCAAAATCTTTTAGTGTTATTGCAACAGCGCTCTTCACTCCTTTCTCAAACGCACGTTGCCACAAACCACAACAAAGCTCGTACTCCTCAGAGTCAGCTAAAACAGCTCCCCGGTATCCGATTGGTTGCAGATTTGCTGGATTGTCAGGCCCAAGGATTCTCTCTCTGATTATAAGTCCTTCCATGCCGATAGCATGATCATCACCTNCCTATTTCTAACAGCAACAGCAGCATTTCTGACAAAATCACGACTTCTTTAGGGTCAGCAGGCTTGAACGTCACAGCTAGATGGAGAGGTGTGTTTCCCTCGGTGTTAACGGCATTTACATCACACCCTGCGTGTAAAATAAGCTTCATGGTCTCAACACATGGAAACTTGCACACACTTTGCATTATGTCTTCTATTTCTTCATCACCATACGAAAAAATTGGGGTTTCGTGCCATGCAACTAAGTGCAGTAAAGTATTTCCATCATTGGTTCGAGGGTTTAAACGCAAGAATCTTTGTAGAAAGTCAGTTATGTTGGCGTTTTGATCTTTAACTTTGATGTATATCATCAAAAGATAGAGAGCACAGTAAAGAGTATTTTCTTGCTCCTCGTTTTCATGCTCCTCTCGCGAGTTCTCACTTGCAGTAACCAGTGCTTCAAAAACGCGTTCAATAAAATCTGGTCTTAAAGGTATACCTTTTTGTACCAACATTCCAAAGAAAGCTGCAGCATCTTCAAGGTTATCAAAATCTTTTAGTGTTATTGCAACAGCGCTCTTCACTCCTTTCTCAAACGCACGTTGCCACAAACCACAACAAAGCTCGTACTCCTCAGAGTCAGCTAAAACAGCTCCCCGGTATCCGATTGGTTGCAGATTTGCTGGATTGTCAGGCCCAAGGATTCTCTCTCTGATTATAAGTCCTTCCATGCCGATAGCATGATCATCACCTTCTAAAAGAGCAAGTTCCTCAAGAGTTTGACTCTCTTTTCTATTTTGATAAGCTTCCACAGGTTCCATTTTCGTTTTAAGCAATGGATGTGCCGGGTATTGGTATCTCATCTCCATTCCGCGTTTCATGTAACTAAAAGCTTTCTCAGTATCACAAGATGTATCATTGTTAGCAATGGTGGCACCAAGAAGTTCAAGAGCATCAATTCTCTGTTCCTTTGTACATTCCGGTCTGTTGATAAGATACTCCACGATTTCAATGGAACATTCATCACAGGCATAAAGAAGTGGTGTTAAACCTAGATTATTTGGCAGTTGTGATGCTCCAAGAGCCAAAAGCTCACTGACTATCTCTAAGTGCCCCCCTTTCACAGCGTAATGAAGTGCAGTGTCGCCATCTTCGTCTTGCAGATCCACAAAGGCACCTTTGTTAATAAACAGTTTAACAACATCAAGATGACCAGCTATGACCAGAAGCAGCAGCGGCCCATAAAGGTGTACAACCCTTTCTAACTTCGTCAGCTATCTTAAGTGTTCCTCGAGCATCGATGTCTGCTCCATATCCTAGAAGAATCTTCACAGAATTCAGGTGTCCATTGTGAGCAGCGATGATAAGAGGAGTGACAAAATGGCTGCCATCTCTAGTTTTTGTTTCCAAAGCGGTTTTTCTTTGCTCAGTTGTTTTCAGCCGCTTTAAAATTTTCTCCAGATCAGAAGAACCGTCACGAGCAGCTTGATAAACTTTAGTTACACATTCTCTAACGGATAGGTTACCCATTTTACATGAAGCTTCAGTTAAGCCTCTAGTTTAAATTTACGGTTCACTTGAAAGGCAATACGCTAGCATGACCAAAACATCAAATAGACATTTTTAAGGTCATCACCTCGCATACTTTTTAAGCAGACTCTTATAAATTCAGTCGCACCCTTTATTTTATTTCGGCGAAGCGGAACATGTTTTGTCATTTCAGTTCAGGTTTACATATTAGTGTGAATAATGGCCATAAAATTTTCATTTTCTGTGTGATTGAAGAAACGATAGACACTCAGTGGCATTATCAAAAATATCATTCTTGATTCACTTGGATCTCACTAGTACAGCTGTAGATTCTTTCCGAGAAAACGGCAGGTATGGAATGAATTTGTTGTTTCTGGGCATGACTAGAGGAGAGCGGGATGCGGAGGGGGGCGGCGGGGAGCTCGCTTGGCTTAAAAAGGATAGAATGTTTAGAAAGGACAGTCCTAGCTGACAGTTCCTGTAAACCGTTTCCCATTACTAAATTTCTGATCTAACCCTTTTCGGTTCAGTTCTTAACCACAATCACTGTTGAGCTGTGTTACTGGCACCCGGTTTTCCAGTTTGTTGAGGAATTCAGTAAGGTAAGTGGAGTTCTATACCACGGTTACGTTAAGTCTCCAGACTTAAATAATGGCAGCTAGAAACGTCAAAATTTTTCTCGAGCGCAAATAGCAATCGGAAGACTTTTTTCTGTTTTCTGCGGCAAAAGCGAATGAGAGAGCAGATTGGAGCTCCGGGAATAATAAGCGAACGACTTTGAGAAAGTCTAGAGGTAATCATGTATTCACCCGCCTCCCCTTGGGCACCCGTTCACAATAAAATTGCAAGACTATGTTGGTACAAAGTGGGAGTTGGGATGGGGTGGGTGTTAAAATATGAAGAAAAAACTAATGAAACTTCGCCCTAAGAGATCAAATACAGCATACACAGCCGTGGTAAATATCCCATCCCCCTTCATGCTATTCCTCCACCCTACACAACGTTTCAAGAGACGTTTCCGTTCTCATACACTCCAATATCAACCATAATTATAAATAGTAGGAGAATCTATAAACAGAGATAGACTTCATCCACAATCCCCAATTCATGTCCTGGTGATTCCGAAAAAAAAAAACAATAAGAAAGACAACTGATGCTACAGATGACGATGAACAAGTATGTCTTGAAATTTTGTT